CACACACACACACACACACCACGTGCGTGTGCGCATGCGCAGGCACGTGGCCTTTACATCCCAACCCTGTGCAACATGCATTCTAGACCCTACACCTGGAAAATTGAAACTCTGATGCCAGACACTTGCCGTGAATCTTGAACTCACCCTGCGCCGGCATTCCTGCTTCCACTGTTTTCAACCCCCCTAGCCTGAGCCAGACCCGTCTTCCTGACTTATTTGGATTTCACGCTGCTGTGCCTTACCACGACGCAGTCTTTCCAAGGCCTGAAGCCAGATGCATGGTCGACATAGCAAACAACAGCGAGCGAGTGCCTCGAGCAATCGCGTTCGTTCTACACGAAGGGCAAGCGCTGCCTCCGTCGGGACACGCGATCAAATCGCTAAATCAGATCGACGTGTTTGCAGTGTCATAGAAGCAGATTCTGACCTTAATAGACACCTTCACTTGCAGCATCTTGCGGCATCTCCTGTCCTGCTCGTGACGAGCTCCATCTTCCCGCGATCTTTCCAGAGCGAATACAAGATGCTTAGCCTCAGCTTTTGAATCAAGCCAACCCTCTGTGCTGATAGAACACATGACCACACGATTCGCATGGCGGCTGGCTTGCTGATCCACCCTTCCACTGGTATCCTTGCTGCTCTGCAACTGCTGCTGGAGGGCGGTCACCTGTGACACCGATATGCATAATCGAGGAATGCATGCCTGGCCAGTGCAGGTATGATCGCCTTGCGATCGAGACCTATTTATATGCACGCGATCGACCACACCCGGCGCGATCGCGAGCCTGGCTTTCCAAGTCTTTCATCAGGACATCCTGCTGCTGAATCGACGACTTCAAGTGTGGCACCTGCAAAGCAATAGTCACACCAGGCGGGGAAGCTCAAATCCAGGCTCCCACCTCCGCCAATGCAGAATCTCGTTGTGTCCGCATCTGCGCACAGTCCACATGCAGCCTTGGCTGGACATGGAGCGCAGAGCAAAGACTCTCAACCAAGCTGGCTTAAAGGAGGCCACTTCATACGTCGCCGAACTTCCGTACGCCAACTATCTTATTGGACGAGATCACCGTTGAGGGCAGCGATCACGCACCAGGCAGAGCTTGATTTAGGTGTTTGACAAATGCTCTAGCGGCACTCCGGACTCCCGGCACCGGGACAATTATTTCCAAAGACAACAAGACTTTGTTGTCTCTCTCTCTCAGCGCTGGACACTCTTGGAGTTGTGGGCCAGGTGCATTTTCACGAAACGTGAGGCCAGTGAGCCATGCTGCTAGGACTGGCCATCGTACTGCAAAACCCCTTGTGTTGCCGTCCCAATGCCTGTCCCCATCGCTGTAAGATCGCAAGACTTAGGCCCCGACGAGCTGACTAGTTGGTCAAGCGCAGCTTTATCCTTCTCAGAAAGATTGAACCCAAAGTTCAGCCACCGTTTAGCTCGTGGAATGACGACTTGACGCTGTATTAAACCATGTGTCCTTCTTGGAGCGAGAAAGCTCAGCCTCGCTTGCCTCCAACTTCTGGACCAGGGCTTGGCCATTAGCCTCGGACCGTCGCAGAGCTCTGCCGTTGGGATGGCCATGTCGCTGCCTTCGACTGGCCTTCTCTGCAAGGAATTCATCACGAAGCTTGTGCAAGCTGAGGATCTCAACCTGAGGTACTGGCATCCTTGAATTTACAACACTATAAGCGGCCAGAAGTTCTGCAGGGACCCCCTGTCTCCCCCGCCCTGATGCACTCCTCTGGATTTCGATTGTTGGTAGGCGGGCGGTCTGGCTCAACTTTTTGCTTTGTTCCTTCATCCATCGGCCACCCCAACCCGGCCCGCGGTCACCCCCATCAACCCTGCCCCTCCCTCCGCACCCACACTCTACAAGAAGTTCGTCGGCCCTCTTCACTTGCAGCCAGCCGGAGGACACGAAATGGTTTACAATTTGACATTTGAGTGCTCCCAGTTCCAGCATCTATTGGCACTAGGCGCAATTCACTGTCCAAATTTTGGATCTAATAGATCAGACTGCAGTGAGGTGCATGGGCATTGTCGATATCTCCATGTGAGGTTAGCAGTGGCCAAACAGGCTCAGCTACGGAGTTAGAACTCAGAGTCAGGAAATCCAGGATTTTTCTTTAGACAGTCTGCTGCTCTTTTGTTTTCTAGGTGTCACTGGAACCCATGTGTTTAATATTTGTGCAACCCGCAACACATCCACCTGTTTTCTCGGGCGATCAACATCAACACTCAGCACCCACCGACACCGACTAAACGGCAACATGAATGGTGTCGGGAAGTCTAAGTGCATGGACTAGAGAAACACAGATATCTTCAGGTCCGAGGTTCTGGGCGGCACTGTGAGCCAGCGAAACCAAGGGATCTGTTTTCGAGAAGTCCGTGTCTGAGGCAGACACGTGCTGGCTACTGATGAGTCCCTCGGCCTTGACCTGCGATGCAAAAAAGGGACGGAGGGAGGGAGAGGGAAGGAGGNNGGGAGGGAGAGGGAGAGGGAGGGAGGCAGCGAGAGAGAGAGTCAGAGCAAGTGTGTGAGAGAGAAAGTCGTCGCACCTTTTCTGCAAGCACCGACTCCAGCTGCTTGCGAAGACCTGCATCTGCGTCTGGGTGCTTCGGTGGTGCCACAGCCATTGATACTCCGCGAAAAACCTGAAGCTAAGACCGTTGCTAGCAATGTGCTCCTCCATTGCACCCTTAGTACTGCATGATGTGCACGCTATTGCTCTGACGCACCCTTCTCGACTTGTGACTGGTACGCCAACTCCACGGTCTCAGTTGTGGTAACATCCCACCGAGCTGACGACATGTTTGTTGATTCGTTGTTCGAGGTCTCCCCGAACTGTGGCCAGTGATGTTTCTAAGCCTGCCAGCATGTCCCGTCAAAGCGTGGTCGAACCGCATGTGCTGGTAGGAAATGCTGCCGGGCTGACTGACTGCAAGAGCCTTTACATGTGCATGGGTTCAGCTGTTTTTTGTCCTGTGGAAGACATGGTCTTACAACTGGAGAAAACAAACGTCGCTGGCCATGCTCGCAAGTGGCTAGGTACACATCGACACCATTGGAAGGCCTAGTCTCCAAGCCAGTCCAGCCCAGAGCCGCGCGGAAGGGGCTGATTCCAGCGCTTGGGATTGCACGCTCTGTTTATTGCTCAATCTAGAAAGCCTTATTCAGTACCTACACTGACACTGCTATAATTCAAATGCAAACTTTGCAAAAGAAGGAAGGGCATCCGCACTTCCTTTCAGAAAAGAACGTCCACGTGCTTGCGAGGGCGATCCGACCGGAGATGATCTAAGCACTGATTTACTTCCACTTGGGCAAAATTCCGCTCAAAGAGATGGGTAAGCACACCAAGGCAGCAAACCCAGGCCCAAAGCAAGTGTTTCTTTACTTGGGGGGATCAGCGATTTCTCTAGAAAATCTGCGGGTGTATTCGTCCATCTGTCGACCTTCCTCGTTGACAAAGACAGGATATTCGAGGGTGTCCGATTTGGCAAGTCGCATGGTTCGTGAAGGGAGAAGCTGTTGCCGAAGAAGCGTACGCTAATGCAGCGGCTGCGATTGCATGTTTCAACGTCTTGCAATGATAGAGCCATCGTAGTGCCCTCATGTGCTGGCCCCCGACAACTCAAGCAAGCATGAAGACATGTGGCTCGTGACAAGCGCCTCGCACGGAGTGTTGAAGCCTCAACTGCCAGAGATCTTTAACCAGCCATAATCTGTTTCGCGCTTTCTCTTTCTCGAGGCACGGACTGGGCATTGCCAGCCTTCAACGCATCTATTGAAGAGCGAAGGAGAGCTCGCTCCTCCAGAACAGCCTGCTCGCAGTCTGGCGACGGCAACATTTGAACCACTGATAGTCCACCGAAACACCTTGAGCTCTTGTCGGAGTGATGCCGCCTGCCGACACGGTTACGAGAGGCCTGTCCACCCTCCTGCAGCAATCGCGCGCCTCGCCGGTGACACCCTCATGGGCCTGATACGAATCCACACGCAACATCATCCGGATCCCTGTTTTGCATGGCTTCTTTTTCCGGGAGCCTGCATCAAGCGCGTGTTTTCCGCACTAGAGGACCTCAGCTGCAAAACGCTCGTGATACTCGAAAAATTACTTTGGTAAGCGAGGCTTCGTGCCACTCCGAAAATTCTTTCCGTATTCCATGGCGTGGCCTGCTAGGCACACGTTTGGATAAATCGGAAAAATCCGATTGAATGAGAACCCCTTTGCCGGGCACGAAACGCTTTCTTGTAGCGAAATCTTTCAAAGAACGTTCCGATTTTGCAAGAGCTCCACAGATACTTCTTGCCTTCCATTCAGATTCCCTTACTCACTCCCCCCCACGATCTAATGTCATGAATCTGCGTCGCCACATCTGCATGTCGAGAAACAGGCTTCAAAGATAAACCCCTGCCGATGTCGTCGCCAGATGTAGCCACGATATGCCACGATTGACAACCCTGCGAGCTTTGATGCGAAGCTTCTTGTTGGGAAAAACATGAAGAAGCATAAAGAGGCGCATTCGCGGCTTTAACTGTCAACAGGGTTTCGGAGTAAGCATTGGCAAGCTGTAAGCCAGCAGCAAGCCATTTGTGTGCAGAAGGCTGTTTTCCTGGAGGTAAAAATTCAGGAGACTCAACATTGACAGATGGGGTCACCTGAACTGCAGCGTCCTTCTGCAGAGTGTGGATGTGTTCAGAGATGACGCCATTTTCAGCAGTCAGCCTGAGAGTCCACCGATATACAAAAAATCGAGCATGCGTGCTTGGGAACACGGCACATCACGCTCTTCTCGAAGCTGCAGGACCTCGTCCTTCATCTGCTCAACACGGACTTGCGGCACTGGGCAAACCAGATCCTCAAAGGTGACCCGTCCTCCAATTGAGAAACCTCAGAACGCCACGCGGACACTCGCGCTGCAGTGGAACCTATAGCAAGACGTTCTAGCCTCTGTGGCTTGGGCAATGCGTGCGGCAAATCCCGTGCCCTCCTTTTACGACACTTTCACATCACGCACATCCCTCATCTCGAGGTCTGCTGATGAGCCAATAGTAGTGGTGGCAGCGGCATTCACCTTTCGATCTGCGAGAGAATATCGAACTCAGAACTCAGCACAGTTATTGCACATCCTGCCTGGAGCACTTTGACATAATCCCTTTTCGGACAGTGGTTGCTGCAGCCTCGCCTCGGGGCATTCCGCATTACAAGACCTACATGCGAAGCACTTCCTCGCGCATGTCTCGTCAAGCAGCTCTGGCCACAGCATGCTACCTTGGTCCACGTATGCAGCGTCAAGGATCCTAGTACTTCTGCTTGGGTCCACATGTATCCAGCCCAAGCACACAGAAAAACGCAGCATCCCAGGAACATCGGCGTGAAATAAGCCAGCATTATGACTGACAGCAGAAAGCCATCCTCCTGCCGTTTATAGAGTTTCACAGTCTCAAATTCTGACGACTTGCGCTGTCGTTGGAAGCAGAAGCTCCTGGTAGATGAGACCGAGAAATACACTGGCAAAGCAGGTCAAGCCCCCTGCCAAGCCAAGTAGAATAATGCCAATGAAGAAGCCTCACAGGCGTTGGACACTCAGTCTACGTCGCAACATGTCGCCACCACAGTCAGCAGTCGCAACCAGTGAACGACATCGTGAGAATCATACCAGCAAGGAAGCGTAAGTAAATCAGTCAGCAACGCGCAACCCGGACCCAAACCTTGAACCACCAACTCGTTCTCAAGGCATGCACGGCGCCCGGCAATAGTGCAAGGCCCTGCCGAAGATTGCAAAAAAACATGATTTCGTTTGATTCTGCCAGCTGCAGGCCCATAACAGTGAAACAGCATCTAGCAGCACGATATAGGGCAGCGGAAATGCACGGGACTGTAGCGGAAGTGGCAGGAGCCGATTACCAAATTTGTCAACTTCAATCAAACATTAAAGCGGCCAGATTTCGAGACCGCCCCACGGAGCCCCAAGAAGCCGAATAGCCCTTCGAGAGTCTTGAAGGGTGTTGAAGGCATTATGAGTGGGGGGAAAATGCGCACTGGACTGTGGCTGGAGCGCGATTCATGAACTCCGCGAATGCCAATGTATTGGCCCGTTCAATGACTTCGGTGTCACGGACGGGGACTTGGCAACCTCTTGATGCTGCGCTTTGTCACGGCGATGACATCCTTACGGCTCGCAGGCAAAATATTCGTGGTGGCGGTGTGTCACCGCAGTGCTATCTCCCCGGCTTGTGGTCTGCTGCAGCCTGCCCCAAAATCAACACACTAAGTCTCGTTGCGAACACATGGGCAAGAACGAGCCGCAATGCCTATGTACCGCCGAGACACCCATGTTTCCTGTCAGTCCTACTCCAGCAATGCAACGTCCAAATACGCCGCAATGATGATCAAAGTTAGATACCTTGACATGAGCAGTGTGTGCTCATGCTGATTCCTTTCCGGACAGCATACTTGGGTACCAACGCAACGTTGACAGACGGAACAGTGGTGAAAGTTGTACTCTGAGCCTCGGCTGGCTGACAGCTTGCTAGGACGGCCAAGCACTGGAAATCGGTCTAGGGTGCACGCCGTTATCGCGAAGGAAAACACGTCTGCAGGAGCTCGTTGGCTTGCCTCAGGCTGGCTGTGGGACGCTACACAAACGAGAATGCATGATGACTAACCAGCAAAGCTTTTGTCACCGACCGACCCTCTGACGTTCGCCGCCACACGCAGCATCTCACACAGTAGCTGCTGTCTCCTTCAATAATGTTCCTGAGCAGTCAACACAAAGCCGGGCTTCAACTCGCAACCAGGAAGCCATTTTCGCTCAGACTCTGGAAGTGGTCCAAAGAGCTTCCGGCCTCTTGCGGGGCATACACGAGGAAACGAAGCTGACACGACTTCCCCAACATGGCTTCCCAAATGAGCAGTCCCAAATCCAAAATGGACGGCAGTATGGGTGTGCTTATGACAGGTGAACAAGAAAATCGCCTTCACACTATGAACATCTATGAAATCCACATTTGTCCGCACGAATGCCTCAAGGTTTTCACTTGGGGAGGTTAAACGATGCCCAGAAATCGAATAGCCTGCAAACTACTGGAAACAGATGCATTAGTTTCAACCGAGTCCTGCGATGCAACATTCTGAAATGATCGAGTGAGGCTTTTCCATTCTCGGAACAATGATTATTTACCCCGCCCTGCGGCTTGGAAGCAACCATTGACGCATGATAGTTTCGCTTGATGCGTGTGCGTAACCGGTCGTGATCTGAGAGCAATATCAGGCTTTTGAAGAGAAGAACATGTATGAGTTACACCGCACAATCATCCTATCATGATCCGTGGCTGGTTGAGCCGATTGATTGTCATCGGAGACGAAACTGATACGGCCCGCTTTGCACAGGGTCGCTCTGTAGTGGCCTGACCGCCGGCTATTGCGGTTTTGGTAGACTATGGCATGCAGGCGCTACCTGTGAGAATGGGCCTGTAGGCCGTCAACAGTGTAATTAATGTGGAATGTAAACTGCTGAGCTGAGCTGATAACCAACGTTTGCAGCAACGTCTCCTAGTCGATTAGGATGAACGACACTGCGAACCAATCAGCGTTATCGAGCTCTGCACCTATCTATGCCAAGAAGACGACTAAAATCGAAAGTGCAAGCCATGGCCCTTTGTAAACAGCCGTTAAAAAAATCACCTTTCGCGGGACTAACTAAAACTTGCATAACGAGCAATTGCAACAAATGTCAAGAACTGTCTATTTTCCAGTTTGCAGCAGGCTGGTCCAGCCTGCAAGGCTGCCAGTACCGCCGGCGGAACAGGAAAGCATGTCCTTCGCGATCGTTGGACGACGCCTTCGTTTGGAGAGTTGTATCCATGACAAGCAGAACGCACCCACCAAGGGCCTCCATCACCCCACATCAAGCCAAGCAGGCAGACCAGGGCCAATATAGCCTGCACCGCAACTCCATACAGTTCATGTCACACCACTGAACAAACACGAGCTTCCGCGGATCCTCCACATGGATAGCATAGAACAAAGTTGACCGCACCGCCTCCGAAGCAAAACACAAGCGAGCATATTCGTTTGAACCAGCTAGCCAACTGACTCTTCGAGCATGCCGGTCATGAACAAAGTAATGGCATGCGTAGGGACGGGTGGAACTTGACAGAAACCCGTGGTGCGTTTAAAGTTCACACTCCACTATCCAAAATCGAATACGTCGTTCGAAATTGAGAATACATAGAACCGGAACTCTCCTGCACAGATTGCTCTCTGGAGTCTTGTTACATGTGGCATCTATGACGAACCTCGTTCACATGGCCAGCGATTTTGGCAGTCATGTGACGCGTCGCAGTGACCAGAAGTGCTATCAATCCCAACCTTAGCTTTCAGCATCGTGCTCCCTGCCTCATGCTTTCCTTGCCTCATTAGAGTTCGCAAGACGTGACGTCAAGAGAGTGCTCAGTACAGCGCACTAGCCCACATCCACATGCCGATTCGGATCGCATCTCCCATCTGTTCGGCTCCTCAAAGCTCAGGCATGTTCTGAGGTTGAGCTTGACTGATCGCCAGGGAACGACGGTGGAAAGGCCACACTGAGTCCGAGACAGGTAGCGGTGGCAGAAGTGCCAGCAACTCCTGGGTTGGCGGATCCTTGCAGCCGCTATCCATGGCCCTGTCATTGATGGTCTATTCATGCTTGACCCCGGTCGTCGGGACAGCTTCTCGTGCAGAGGTCTCGGATGTGCATTTACGCCATCTGCCCTCATTATCCGTGCCATTGATCTGTGATGCTGCGTACAATTGCAAGACTTGCCATGAGCTCTCATCGCCGGCACAAAGCTTGGCGACTTGTCTGCACACCAGGCTCATGACTTTTTCGCTCAATTTCTGAGCCAGGTCCTGAGCATGATACATTTGTCCTTCAATACAACCGGTCATTGACAGTATTCATGTTGAGGATACATCCAAGGTCGCAGCATATAGCCCATTCTGCCCTTTTGCTGCCTGACACCACTCTGAGAAGATGCGCGGATGGCAAAACCCTGACGCATCAAACTCCACTTGAAGTTCCGGCATCTGAAGGAGTCGTGGACAAAGCATCCTCTGAGCAAGAAAGCAGGAGTCTGTTCGAAGTTCAGCCTGCCCTGGCGAGTCCCTGACGACAGGAAACAGACTGTGTTGGGCACCTGACAAATTCTCCACGCTACTTCGCCACCGTTGCTGAATCATCCCCTGGGACTGCTACGAGACTTGCTCGGGCAGACTGTGGATGTCGCGGAAGCGGTTGCCTCCCAGACTGTGACAAGTCCATGTCGTGGACGTTGTAACATACAGATTCACAATACATGCGGCCTTTGAACTGCAGGGATGCACCGACGCATCGAGCGCGTGAACTCGTGGAACGGCCTGCCAGATTGTGGAATGTCAATGCTTCCACGGATCCCCACGACATCTGCAAGCATCTCTACAGACCTGTGCATGCATGGTACAGATTTTGCAGCAACCTTTACAACTGTGGCAACCCGGGTCAGTTTAATTCCTTCGGGTCCCTTCACCCTGCAAGCCAGAGTTTTTTTGCACAACCCATGAGGATTGGAACTGGCTTCCAATGTTGGATTTCAGAGAGTTTTTCGGCGTCGGCGCAACCAACCTAGCCAAAGAGCAGCACGCAGCTCTCCACGGCGGTTGAAGTCACTAGCTGCTGGTGTGGTTGCACAACATGCAAATGGTCGGAGGGAAGCACACGTCGAAGCAACAAATGATCTGAACATCGCCTTCGGTGCGGCCAACTCCATCGAAGCTCCATGACACTGTCGGGGATTTGCGTGCTCACTGCTTGACTCACACATTTTGATCGCTGTGTCTACGTGCACGTGTTCCTCCAAGCACTACCATGAAGGACTTGACAACGTCACGTCCAGTTGCCCTGAGGACTACGCTTACAATGCGTTCGGAACATTCACCATGGAAGTAGGCTTGACAGCGGCTCCAAGTTAGAATGCTTGGGCAACGAAAACATGAAAATCAATGGTTCGCTGTAGAAGCCAATGAAAGATGCGCCACACAAAAGCGGGGTGGTCATTTTTTTGTACTCGCAAAGTCGGTGCAAGGCAAAGCAGGTTGGGTGGACGGGTGTTTTTTTGAAAGCAGCCGCTCTCGGTCGACAACTTGAGAACAGTGCGGCTCGGGGGCAATGCTTTGACCGTTGGCGAAAACCAGTCCAGAGGTCCAGGTAGAAGGTCCAGTGTTCAGACCGGCCGGGCAAAACCGACTAGGACAGACTGGTCTGCCTGAACCGGATGAACCGGTTGA